AAAACTGTTGCTTGCTCAGAGGGGGCTCCCGCAACCTGCGATCTTCATTGGTCCTGCAGTTCATATAAACCGCCGTTATCGGGCCGCCATGAGGACGCCCTTACGTCTTTCAATGAACGGGATGAACTGTGAAATGGAAGTCCGGAGGTTGGAGGAGCCTGTTCTCGAGACGCTGGAGTTCGGCACTTCTCTGGGAATTCGGGATACGGACAGCAGGAAGGAAATAAAAATAAAAATGCTGAAGAGTCATAAAAGGAAATAGAACAAAGGAGAGTCGTATACAAATGTCCCGAACTCGGAATACAAGCCACGCAAGGGTGATACTCAACACCCAGACCCATATGTTGCCGATCACAACGTCCATCTGTCTCCAGGCAAGATATGATACCCCCAGCGACAAGCCACACGATCAACGTTGACCGCACAGGCTATGAGACGGACGTAGTGCATAGGGCCGGGTGCGGAGGAGTGCCCTCGGGGCGAGGGGATGACATTTCGAGATTGGGGAGGGAAACACTGGGTGCGGAACGCCTGAACGACGGATGGCAAAGGGAAGGGAACAGGCAGAGAGGATGAAAAAACAACGAGGGATAAGCACGACCACGTATGACTGAGACCATCCACTGGCCCGCGCTCTCCTCCACAATGCTGCTTCAAATTGACTGTTCGTCATGCCCACTGAGATCCGTGATGAGATCTCTACAGACTTTCTTGCACAATTAGACGCTCTGTAAGAGGAAACACGAGCGGAATCCGATGCTGCGAGTGGAGGAGACTTTCATGATGCTCTGAAAGCAGCGACACGAGCAGGGAATGAGGTGGAATGACGAGGCGGATCAGAGGGCGAGCGGTGAATGAGCGAAGGAGAGGGGCCATGAAACTCTCTGAGTCGGCGGAACGTTGCAATGAGAGACGAGAAAATACATAGGCGTTACGACGTACATCCATTATAAATGCCATCCCGTTCTCCCTAATCTCTCATCGTCAAGTCGTCGAATCGACCACAGCAAGCCATACGAGGCAGTCGGTGAGTTTCTCCGGCTCTACGAGCTGCCCGAAAAAGAAACGCACCCCGCAGGATTCGAAGTTGAAGACCACTGGACGAGGTGCGCTCCGTGTGGGCGGCGGGCGACGGGCGACGAGACGGAGCAAGGATGAAGAGAGGAAGGTGAGAGAAGAGCGCAGAATAGCTGTGGAGTGAGACATGACAAGGAGCACAAACCACGAAGAGCAGGTTGGGAAAGAGAAGGAAAGTGGTCGATGATGATGACGGTGTTGTTTGGCATGGGCCCCAATCGCCAACATCGGTCGTATGTATAGCCGAGGACACTCAAAGGACGTTCTCACGAGCCCTTTTCCTTCGTTCCGCCCATTGACCAGCTCTGAGCCAGCCCCGCTGTGCATCCTCGAATGCGACAGAACCACGGAGGTACGCCATGGTGACCTTTGAACAAGATCTTCTCGGTGAGTCTTATTGTTAATTTCCTCTTGTTTGAACTTTGCTCATAGGCAGCTCTATCGATCGATAACGATATATCGACTTCGCCCTGCGATGCTCGACCTCTATCTTTATCGATGCGCTGTGATAGACCTCCAGCCCTTCACCCTTCCCTCCCGAATTCTTAGTGATGGTCTTCATCCCGTGGCGTCCCCCGAATACACCACCCTGTTGCAGACGGCCTGGCTGGCTCCTTGACAACCTACGATGACTTGCTATTCCCTGCTATTCCACTTGCAGACTTCACGGATCCCTCGTGGACTTGTGGAGAAAGACGGCAGAGACGTCTCATCTGTCGTGGTATCTGCAAGCGGTTAGATAGGCATGCACGGCTTGTTGGGTTGTTGAGGACAGAATGGCATTATCTACCCTTTTTCTTCACTTCCCGCCACTGTCACTGTCGTGGCTCTGGTCCATTCTTTCCCATTCCCTACTCCTGCTGCTCATGTATCCTGATCCTCGTTTATCTACCTGGACCCTCAATCGCGGCGATCCCTGGCCCCTCCATGCCCAAGGCCGAGGATTTCAACGTCTCGTATCACACTCTATTCTGATACAGTAGGAGAATGGCAGTTTTCCGAGTCATTTGAGGACGAGGGAGGGCTCCTTTAAACGCACTGCCGAATATTATGAGGATCGCACTGCTGCATATCGATCAGGGCCCATCCTCCTCGCGAGAGCGAGGCAATTCATGTGTCCCTCTGCGCTTTATGCTCGAATCCATCCCTACTCGCCATCCCATCTCGTACGTGTTCTGATGGCTTCTGGTCAGACAGTGGAGGCCACCATAAAAAAACAGCGTGTTTCCTCCTCTCTTGCACATGCTTTGCCTGCGCATGATTATATGGAATCCCTTCGGCACCTGTGGGACAAGTGCCTTTCTCTCGTCAATATTGGGACGTGTCATACGCCGTCATCCGAGATCGACGAGTGATCAATACTCCCCTCCAACCAGGTGCCGGTGGGTCTTCTCCCATCTAGTTGTGAGCAACGTCGACTCGTATGGCACATATCAGTGGCATCACGTTAGAAAATAAAGCACTCTAACAGCTCCTTCAATTGCCTCTACTATGATATATCCCAACCTACGAGGGATTGGGCCATCCAGTTTGCCTTCGACATAGCACATTTCCTGATTTATTCTGGCACTTTTCATATTTCTTCACATTTGCCCAGCATTCTCTCGTGTACTGTCCAGAGGTTCTCTCTGCACGGCGAACTGTGACTACACCCGTCACACAACATCGACCGCGAGGCGGACAGAAACTCAAGCGAACAACGCGTCGTTATCTGAGGGTTGGGCGAATGGACAAATCTTCCAGATGAAAGCGGTCGCGGAGGATTCTTTGATCACGTACAGTCTGCTCTCGACTGCACACCAACCTTGCCGTGTGGTTAGTACAAGCGTCTTAATTTGAAATGGTGCGCGCCCGCTATCCTTGTATGCAAAGATAAGCGATATACTGAATTCATTTCGCATGTGAAGAGGAATGAGTTCTCGGATTTATTGCAGATCTACAGTATATCGAATACCTCTGCATAAAGAGGCTTTGATAGTCGACACTCTGCGCGAACTGGGGGTATCAAAGAGTAGAGAATGTATTCCGTAACCTGAAAATTCTGAGCACGACTTGCCAGTCCACACCTGGACAAGGCTCTCCGCACGCATTAGACAATCACCGATGCCATCACCCAGACTGCATGCGAACCGCCAGCATCAGGCGGACATAAGAATACCTGTGCACATTGCAGGGTACAGGCTTATGGGGGATAGACGGCCAGTCCATGTGGGATAGCCTAGTCTCCAGTCATTCACGGCAGGTGTTCCCTAAGGGCAAGGTTAGAGAAAAATAATTGTAAAACGGAGATTCTCGGTCTAACAAGAATGGAAAGGAAACAGGGACGAGACGAAAGAATGAACACCAAGACGCACAACTGCTGCGCATCGCGTCGAGTCGATACAGACCAACGATTGGCGCAAGACCAACCATCCATCACGCTGATTCATGACACACCTGTAACGTCCGCCCGTCGCTGAAGAATATATGACGCCCTTAAATGGTGATCTGCACAATTGTGCAAGTAACGAGATGAGCACAAAGCGAAGGGCAAGGGACAGAGAAAGCATCCGGGACATTCAGACCTGGTTCGGACGATCGTTGGGATGACAAACACGACGAACTGAGGGTCGGAGAATGGAAGAAGGTGGGAGAAATGGCGTGCAGGAAGCAAAGGCGCGTGTTCTTTATTCGGCCTCTATGGACGCTTCCGCATGATATCCAATCGTGCGAGAGGGAACAGCGGGCGGGATCCAACGTTGAGTGTGGAGGAGAGTTTCGCTGTAGGAAGGAGGATGAGGGGAGATAAGGGAGGAGAAGAATCGGGGCAGATGGGATGAAGGAGAGCAGAGTGCGGCGTGTGATGAGAGAGATAAGGAAAGCAGGCGGACAATACGGGCAAAGAAGAAAGAGAGGAAAAAAGAGCACTAGGGCATACAATTGCAATGGATGAGAGTGAAAAACACAGCTGCAGGCAGAGGCACTTCACCATCCACTTGACACCGGTGCAGCGTTCCTCCACAAGCCAAAATCCGTGACCAGTCTCACCGTTCGCCTTGTCCCGGAGTTCGGCAATGATTAGCTAGGAGCAAGAGAGAAGGGAGGACCACGCTGGTTGTGGAGGAGAGGCTTCTACTAAGAGGTGCCGGTGAGCAGGGAAAGTAGACGAGCGTGAGCATGAGGCAGGCAGGGGGACACCACTATGAGGATGACGAAGGTGGAGACCTAGAACGACGAGATCGGCGAGGTTAGATGAATCGCCGTGCTAGCGGCAGTTATTGAGTATATACGAAATGGACTAACTGGGTAACGATGCACCTCAATACCTCCTCCCAGACCCAGAGTCCCAGTCAAACCTTCGAAGTAGAGCGAACCGAATGTTGGATTTGGAGAGGCAAACGCGCCCGAGCAGCGCACAGGTTTCACGTATGCAGCTCGTGTCTGTTGGATTTGGAGAGGCAAACGCGCCCGAGCAGCACACAGGTTTCACGTATGCAGCTCGTGTCAGCACGGCCCGTCTCATGCTTGGAGATAGGTATTTTGTCTTTATGTTAACTTTCATTTTACTTCCGTCTACTCTACTTCACATCTAGAGTACATATAAACATTCTACGTTATCTCGTTGCCGTTCTTATCATGCATCAGCTGCTCTTTTGTGTTTTATCTTCACATGGCTCTCCTGGGCAGTCGAGCCCATTTATACCGCGCCGTTTTCGTTAGCGCTCCCTCAGCCGTTTTTCCAAACACTGAGGTGAGCTTTCTAGTTTATGATCTACTATTCATATGCTTACATCCTGTACCTAGCTATTCTTAGGTACTGGTCAATGTTATCAGCCGTTTTTCCAAACGCTGAGCTATTCTTAGTTGGTTCACAGGTTATGGGCCCCGCTCCCTATGCTTAAACTTGATGATCAACCTCAGCATTTTATTTTTGCCTACACACCATGTCTACTGCCACGACTTCTCTCTCCGACACCCTTCCATCCTCCGTACCCAAGCTCGATGTGAGCGGCTTGAATTGGGCAATATTTGCCGTCCGATTCCAAGATGCCGTCGAGGCTAAAGGCTTCTGGGGTCACTTCATTGGTACCGACCCTCGCCCTGTTCCTGCGGCCACTCCTACCCCTGCCCCTACCCCTGCTACTGTTACTGCCGGTGCCGCGACCGCGGCTGTTGTGGGCGCTGCCCCTCCAACCATTGGTGCGACGGCGACCCCTACTGCGGCTGAGATAGCTGCTATGGAGAAGTGGGACAAGGACAAGCGTGCAGCGAAGTCTTTACTCACCCAGAGGATTCCCGATTCAACGTTGATGCGTATCCACTCGAAAAAGACCGTCTTCGAGAGGTGGTCCACCATTGTCAGCGAGTACACGGAGAAGGGCGCTTATGCGCAAACCGAGATGCGTACGAAGTTCTTGGGGTCGAAGTGCCCTGACAAGGGCAATGTGCGTGAGTTCCTGGATTCCTTGGCCACCAAGAGGGAACAGCTTGCTTCGGTTGGTGTCGACATCGATGAGAAAGACTATTGCTCGACCATCCTGCAGTCCCTTCCTATCCCACTCTCAAACTTTGCATCGGCGCAGCTTGCTGCTGCCCGAATGTTCTCCCCAACCGATACCATTGCTCCTGACACCCTCATTCGGCTTATCGGCGAGGAGTATGACTGCCAGAAGTCCCAACATTTTGGGCGCTTGGGAAAGGCGAAGGAGGATGACCGTGACGAGGTGATGGCAGTCTCATCGAACACTTTGAACAACACAGGTGGTGGACAGGCTGCGAATGGTGGAGGTGGCTCAAGCAGGGGGTGCTGGAAGTGTGGCGACCTTGGTCACCGCAAGAGTCAGTGCCCGAAAATGAGGAAGATTGTTGACAAGTTGACTCAGAAGGCAGCTTCTTCAAAGGCGGGTGGGTCTGCGAATGTGGTTGAGGTTGAGGAGGGGGACAGCGATGGTGTTTTCGCGGTCATGGTCGAGTCTGATGATGAAACGTCAGTGCATGGTTCAATGGCAGGGCTCCAGTCAAATACCAACATGGTGATGGGGAGCGACGATTATTCCGACGCTGACAGCGACTCCCTCCCGGTGCCTCACCAGTCTGATGCGCTGATGGACAGTGACTGGTTCTCAGATGTCAGAAGTGATGCTGGAGACTATGACAACCCATTCTGGAGCTCTGAGGATGGATCCGACGAGGAGGAGGAGAGGTTGATGGCTGAGTTCTACGCCATCATCAACACCGTCAAGGAGAAATTTGACGTTGAGAATGCCTTCCTCGAAACCCCTCGCGTCGAGATCTACGACTTGGGCTCAACTCGCCACATCTCCCCTTACCGCGAGGACTTTGTCAACCTCACGGAAATCCCACCGCAAACACTTCGCGCTGCCAACAAAAACAACTTCAGTGCTACTGGGGTTGGCGAGCTCATCATCAATGTACCTAGCGGTGTCAACATGAAGCAGCTCCACCTCACAGAGGTGCTCTACTCTCCCGAAGTTGGCTATATGCTTGTCTCCATTGGGCGGCTTGATGAGAAGGGGTTCTCCGCAATGTTTGCACACGGGAAGTGTGTTATTCGAGGACCAAAGGGTGAAGAGGTTGGCAAGGTGGCAAAGAACGCAAAGGGCTTGTACCGCGTTGAGCACGATGACAACACAGTCAATTCAGCGATCGAGACGATCACTTTGGACCAGTTCCACCGTCGCATGGGCCACATATCGCCTGAGGTTGCTCGTCGACTTGTATCCAACAAGTTTGTGACAGGTGTTCGTCTCACAACAATGTCGACGTCTGGTGATCCTTTCTTCTGCGAATCGTGCGTTTATGCCAAGGCGACGAGGAAGTCGGTGCCGAAAGAGAGAGCTGGGGAGAGGGCGAGCGAGTTTGGTGGTGAGGTTCATTCGGATCTCTGGGGACCAGCGCCTGTTTCTACACGGGGCAGTCGGCGCTACTACGTCACCTTCATTGATGACAAGACGCGACTCACTCACCTCTACCTCATGCGCAATAAGTCTGACACTTTTGCCAAGTACAGGGAGTATGAGGTGTGGTGTGATGCACAGCTAGGTGCTCGAGTCAAGGTTTTGCACTCGGATCGAGGGGGAGAGTACACCGGGAAGGAGTTCGTTGTCCATCTCAAGGCTCACGGCACGGCGAGGAAGCAAACCGTCCATGATACCCCTGCCCAAAATGGTGTTGCGGAACGTCGTAATCGCATCATCATGGAGCGCGTTCGAGTGCTATTGCACAGTTCTGGTCTGCCAAAGTTTCTTTGGGGCGAGGCTGCTCGCCACGTCGTTTGGTTGTTAAATCGGACGTCGACGAAGGCGGTGGATGGCAAAACCCCCTACGAGGCAGCTTTTGGGAAGAAGCCTGACCTCCGTGAGGTACGTGAGTGGGGCGAGAAGGTGTGGGTGCGCATCGAGGGAGGGAACAAGTTGGGTGGGCAGGTGCGAGAGGGGCGTTGGATGGGTTTGGATGGATGGGTTTGGATGA